AAGTAAAAATAAGTGTGAACAGCATTACTCATGATTAAAAAAAGTGGAGAATTGTGCAACATAAGGATCGATGCATGGAGGCATACAATGACAAAAATCAATCATTTGTTCCCACAAACCAGGACCGAGATTAATTTCTGGGTCTTTGTGAAAATTAGAAATGATGTTTTCTTTAACTAATCGTTATCAAAAATCAATCATTTTTTCCAACAATAATTAGTAGAAGAGGTCATGAATTCAAATTCTACAAATTAATACAAAAAACCTAAAATGCATCGACGTTTTCCAAGCTACGAATTAAAATACATACTTGACTCAGCTCTATGTACTTTTTGTTTGTTTTTTTTCATAGTTTTTATCCCTTTGGCTTTAGCTGGAGGTCCCGAACATTATTGGATGTTATCAAGGGATTTGATTGCTAAACTAATTAATTACTACTCACGATTCTTCATACTCAGTCATCCTTTGCTCTGATTGAGAGACTCAGCCCTCCTAAATTTGCAGAAGTGATGGTAGTTGAATGGTTCAGAAATCCATTCCATGTTATGCATGCGTAATGACTGACAATATTAATTTTATTTTTTTTGGTAGCAGCTAGTAGTGGTAGCTACTTAACTTTATTATTTAAACATTACTTTAAGATTATGTTTTAGCTATATATATGCCAGCCACAACAAGCCGCAAGACATGGAAATAAGTGTATTCTCCTTCTGCTCTTTCACTGAATGAGCCCTGGTTTAGGGAAGCAAAAAGTGGAGAATTGTGCAACATAAGGATCGATCCTTGGAGGCTTACAATGGCAATGATATTTTGTTTCAAAACCAGGACCGACATTAAGTTTTGGGTGATTGTGAAAATTAGAAAGAGGAATACTAAGGAGGCTCTCTCAAATTGAGATTCTTTATGAACTCTCCGTCATTATTTTTCATACCAACATTATAAAACATTGTGTAAAAAACATGAGAGTTTATGAAGAGTCTCACTTTTGATAAAGTCTTCTTAGCATTTCTCAATTGTTTAAAAAATAATCAATAGAAGAGGGTCATGAATTCAAATTCTACAAATAAAAAGACCTAAAATGCAGTGACGTTTTCTCTCTTAGTTTTTAGCACTTTGGCTTTAGCTCGAGGTCCCAAACATTATTGGATGTTATCAAGTGATTAGATTGCTAAACTAATTAATTACTACTCACGATACCCAGCCAAACTTTGCTCTGATTGAGAGACTCTGAATGGGTCAGAACCCATTCCATGCTATGCATGGGTAATGACTGACAGTATTAATTTAAAAAAAATAAAAATTGTAGCTACTGATAGCTACTTAATTTTATTCTTTAAACTTTACTAATTAAAATTACTTTAAGATTATGTTATATATATATATATATATATATTATATGTAAGCTTCACTTTGTATGTGATTATGGTTGAATCCTTCCCTTTTCTGTGATACGTCACGGGTCTGGTTGCGTGATGTAGAGGGTTTCTCTCTTCTTCCGTGATGTAGAGGGTTTCTCTCTTCTTCCGTGACGTTTTGTTTGTAATCCTACAAATTCCTTAGAGTAATGCTGAGAAGATTACATTTGTAGATAATATTTTGTAAACTAAATGACGTGGAAATTGATGATTAGATTCTTGCTTAAGTGTTGATAAATGTGTTCATTTTCTATTGGTGACACATCATTTAGTTTGCAAATTTTGTCAACAAATTTAACTTCCTTAGCATTACTCAATTCATAAACATCATGCTCAGAACTTTAACTACGTTTTTTTTTCTTTCTATTTTCCCTCCCAATTATAATTGACTTAGAGAACAAGAAGTGTCTTCTTTCTATTTACCGTTCACTGGTTAAAAATGATCGAATGCCACAGATACACCTCAAGTTTTAGACGTAAAAAGTTATATGGTCTATTACTAATTAGCGTGAGTGAGTAATGACTTATTATACATGTTTATATGTCTGGTATCAATAAGTGTTTTGAGAAATATGTACTTTAGGGTTTGGTATTAATCCGTCTATCACTTTGCGGATCCGTCACTCCGTCAATCCGTTTGGCCATCGCTCCGTTGTCACTCCTCAATTCAAATCGAAACGTAGAAGATCGAACTCCGGCGGATTTGGTTTTTATCGTGACTGTGTCACCTTGACGTCACACTACCTCAAGCAATGAGTTGGGCAATTGTAGCCCGATTGAGCAGTCGGGCCTTCTCCTTTTCACTGTAGCCCGACTGATTAAGCTTGGGTTGGAGATGATTTTGTTGGTTTTGGGGATTCAATCACCCAATTCCTTGGGGAATTTGGAGGGATGGACTTGCTCTAGCATATATCCATCTGGAGTTACAAAAAAGAAATAAAAAGTGTGTGTGTGTATATATATAGGCACAGTGCTGATTTAGTTCCTCAACTGTCACCGTAGTGAAAATTAGGTCTATGAATTATTTTTTTTCAGTAAAATAAATTCCTAAATTCATTAAAAATTGCTATTTTCATCCATATTATAATATTCAAAGTTATTTTATCCAATTTTTCGTCAACTTAAGTCACTTGACACACTTTAGAGTGTAATGCCGTCATTTTCTTGCTTATACATTTCATATAGTTGCGAATCTAACATCTAATTTACCCTCCGAAGTTAACTTACATTATTTCTTATGAAAACCTACCAATTTACCCTCCAAAGTTAACTTCATACAATATTTCTTTATGAAAAACTACCAATCTACCCTCCAATGTGTACCATATGCAAGTAATGTGGCTTAAATTGTCGGAAAATTAAATATAGTAGCTTCGAATATAATATTAGGGATGTAATTGACAGATTTTTATAATTCAAGGATTGATTTTTTTTTTTGAAAAAAATATAGTTTAAGGACCTAATTTTCACTGAGGTGATAATTTCAGAAACTAAATTGGTAGTTCACCTTATATATATATATATATATATATATATATATATATATATATATGGCAGCTCACCTTTTATATATATATATATATATATATTTATATGCCGAATCCATAAGGGACTAGCTGGGTCCCGAAACCTTATAGAAGTGGGAAAAATGGCTTGGAGGTCCTTCAGGAACCCTTTCGCAGTCTGTACGAGAACCAATAGTGTCCACTAAATGTTCGATAAAATGTTTGCTCAGCAGATGTCCACATGCCACTGAAGTAGTCAGATGAAATTCGTTGTTAAGAGTGTTCGGCATACATTGACTGAACTTGAAAAATTTTGCTTTGCATTTTAAAAAAAGTTATGAACGTTTACACTCCGTGGTGGTGTTACGATCTCGATTCTCACAGAAAAAAGATCATTTTCTTTCCAATTAATCTGCAACCGGTTGAAAAAAAAATGAGCCCACATGTATTACATACCCTAGCGTTGTTTCGATCGCTCCCTTGTATTGTCATATATTCTAATTTTGCACCTGGGAAAATTAGGAAAGAACTTCGCTGCTGAAAATATCAGCAGCAACAGCCAAGTCCCGTTAACATAAGCAGATTCTGTCGGTCTTGGCCTGTGTGCTATACTATGCTATTGAGGCTTACCGCATGAAGTGGTTGGTGACATATATGAATGGAATGATTCAATCGACGCGGCCAAGCAAAAGAAAGGTGGAAAGAAATGTGAAACTGTGGAAGAGTCGCGCAGCAAAAGTTAAGAATCTCTATGACTGTGCATGCATGTGGACGTACATTACCAATGACGTGCTTAATTAGGGTTTTGATATCATCCTGCATCCTTTTCGGTGTGTGTAAATTCTCTTTGATCAACAAAAAGGGATTCAGTGTCTTGTTCTGACCCAATCAATTCCAATTGTTCATGTATATTCTTGACAATGACCCATCCCATGCATAACATCATGCGCATTTCGCTTTTTCCCAGCTGGTGAATGGTGCATTGCAAAAACCATTTTTGCTTTGAAGTGGTACTTCATCAATGACCTACTTTCATGTTTCAAGATCTTAGTTAAAGACTTTAACCCTTACAATGTTAACTGAAAGGGTAATGCTAAGAAGACTAAATTTATAGACTAAATTTACAAACTAAATGATGTGTCACCAATAAGAATAGACATGTTTATCTGCGGTTAAGTGATAATCCAATTATCAACTTCCATGTCATTTAGTTTATAATATTTTGTCTACAAATTTAATCCCTAGCATTATCCTAACTAAGAAGGGTAAAAAAACGAAGGGCACTTTGTGAAATGGAGAATTTTTTTTTTTTTTTTTAGTGTGACACCTCATGTGATGTTATTAATGTGTTTGTGTTCTAATTATTATGAGGATCTATCTGTTAATACTATATTCTATGTATGACATATCTGTGATAATATACTACAGTCCACTCATATTATAATATATTGATTAGTAACGCCATTTCTAGCCTTTAACTCAACAATTTCTACACGCACAAGGTGAGCATTAAGTTGGGACCCACTCAAGAATTTCTTTGCAAGTTTGGAATATTTTCTGAATTTCACAATTATTTTCTCTTAACACACAGAATGCTTGAAACAGACATGAATAGGCCCTTAGGTCGAGATCCCCACCTTGTGAAACCAAAAAATTTTGAGCAAGTGGCCTGTATACCATGACCATCCAACAGCTCAGACAAGACCGCATAGCCCAGTGGATTAGCGCGTTTGACTTCGTATCAAGATGTCGTGGGTTCGACTCCCACTACGGTCGCAAGCAATATGGTTGGCTCCACACAAATGCTCTGTATTTCTTTGAGCATATGGTTTGCTCAAAACAAATGCTCTGTATTTCTTTTTGACAGAGTGAAATTTACAAGGACGGGAATTTAAACTCGAGTGCAAGTGGTCGGGCACCCTGAACCCTCACGAAATCACAACACAAAAATACTTAGTTTGCCTAACAAGAAGAGCCCGACAGACTCAACTCCTGAGAGCAAACAGATTCGAATGCATCTGGTTCTGTTGATTTAAGGACAACTATACTTCTGATAATCTGATGGCAAACGATCAAACAATAAACGAAAGCAAAATCAGCATTAAAATTCTGGATCAACAAAATCACATTTGGGATAGCGCCTACGTAGATAAAATTACGGAAAGAGTTCAACATTTTAAACTGATGTCCTTGGAATACCATATAACGGGTGAAACTCTCAATTCCCTTCAAATCTGGATCCATAATCATGCCTTGATTGCGTACTTCCTCAATGGGTAGTACATCTCCTGTTTCTTCTCCCTTTCTGTCTTCAAAGATGCCTACAAATAAAAACAATTTGACAACCGAATTAGGATAAAAATATATTGCCAGAAAACTTAACATCGATAATTATTCTGACAGCTACAATACTGTGGAGCGGGCTAAGCAAGGGTAACCTACAGTTCATGTTACGAACGAGAGAAAGGTGGAGAGAGTGAGAGAGGTGGGCAGCGATAGACAAAACAATGCAGCAGTTCACATACACCAATAGAAATGGAGCTCACTATGAAAAATACAATAATGCAGAATAGAAGTTAAACCGAAAAACTCCATAGAGCAAGGACAAGCTTAATAAATCTAAATAGTTGCCAAGAAGAATTCCACAAGTACTGGAATCAAATAAGATCCTGGTCAAAAAAGTAAATCTATTCGCAAAACCATATTAACCAGATAGAAAATAAATTTGTATTCAAGTAAGTCTAACTAGGAAAATCAAATAGAAGAAATGGTCTCCAATATGATTGCAAACACCAACGAAGACTAGACCTTGAATTTCAAACAAGAACACATAGCAGCCTAACCTGAGATAGAGATTCTCTAGCTCCACTCCGTGTCATAAGTAAATGTGAGCTTATTAGCTAAGGTAGATTTGAGATAGCGCTTCTAGTCAAGTCAATTAATTGCGGGATCATATCGAAAAACCATTAAATTTTGCCTTTTCATTTTAACCATGAGCAGGCCAAACCAAAGTCAAACAATTGAACCTAGATCCTAATGCCTAAATGGTATACAAACTATTGAATTAAAAGAATAAAACATGTAACATATACCAACCCATATTAACTTACATTCATCCCGATACAATTAGTTTCGGTCTCTAAGACAGTCCGTTTACTTATTTCTCACAAGACACGTCGATAAGCTAATGTAAATATGTTAAAGGGGTGCATATCATATTCAAGCAAAGGAAAAACATAACAAAAGTATACTCGTAGACTTTCCTACATAATCACAACTCTTAAACAAATGGGCAGCTTCCCAAATCACTACGCAGAAAAAATCAATGAAAACCGAAATCGGGTTCTACTGGGATGCAGAATAGCCGTACCTGGTGCTTGGTGAGACGCCTCCTGATGGCCCTGGTCTTCTTGGGACGCAAATCGAGGGGAAGGAGCTTCTTGTTCCTGTAGACTTCTCTAAGAGCCGCCTTTTGCTTCTGGGACATCACCGTCAACACCTGAGCGATCGAAAGCCTCACCACCTTGCTGAAATCACCCAAACAAAAAAAAAAAAAAAAAACCCCCAAAAAATTGAACAAAAATTCCACGAGTCAAATCAATCAATAAAATTACAGAGAGAGAGAGAGAGAGGATACATTTTGGAGAGTTTGTTGGGGGCTCCACCGGTGACCTTGGCGACCCGGAGAAGAGCGAGCTCTGCTTTCAGATCCTTCAGCTGAGCCAAGAGATCTGCCTTGGTTTTGTGCCTAAGCTCATGGACCTTAATCCTCGCTATTACATAAAATTTTTTTTAAAAAAGTTAAATTAGAACGACCCAGATTCGATTTCAGAAGAGATTAAACGAGGAAGATGAGAATTTAGCAGATCGTACCCATTGCTGCTGCAGTCGGTGTTGCTCGCTTTGGAAGAAGAAGGTGGAGACGGGAAGTGTTACCCTAGAACTTGGCTGCGGTTTTAATAACCATATGTTTCTAAAACCCTAATCTGTAGTACTATTTGATCTTTTCACCATTAGATTTGGGCTTCAAGTGATTGTGGATCGTTGAGCCCATTGTCCATTTGGGTCCTTGAAGTGGATATGGACTTGGGCCAATCGGGTCTTCAGCTCTATTATCACATACCCTTTGGAAGGAAAAAAACCCTAAATTAGATGGACTTTTGTAAGATCTAAAGACAACTTACTAAGGACCTCTTTTAGGCTTAATGGTTAATGAGTTTAAACCACATTTGTAGACACCAAAGTTATAATAAACTTTCCATTGTTGTACTCAAAGTTAGATGGTTGATTGTAAGGTGTTGGTAGCTGAAGTGTTTAAAAACATTTAAATCTGGACATAAGGTTTGGAGTTCAATTTCCTGGTACACAACGCTTCTTGCATATAACAAAAAATTGTAGATGGCAGCAATAACCTTTTTCCATATCAAACTTTGATAGGTATTAGACGGTAAGGCAAATGATGTTAATGAATGGTTGTGTGATTAGAAGATTCAGGAACGACATTGATCGATTTTCAAATTAAAGAACAAAACGATGAGTTATGACAATTTCAGACACCATTTATAATAAATCCTACATGTGTTTTAGTTTTCATGCATTTTTTTGTGATTGAGAATCAGTGAAAATATTTTGTTTTTAATTTTCATTTTGTATGTTTTCCTTACACACTCCATCTATCTTTATTCAATTCTCTCTTGTATTTCCTCCCTATCTTCAAGCTGAAAAGAAAATCTAAGAATTAAAAATAAAGTAGTTATGAATTATCCTAATTAAGAATATAGATCCTGGACTTGACCGTTCAAAAAGGCTCAAGAATGTTACTCCATATATACCAATACAAAAAGATAAATAATAAAGGTTTTAAAGTTATCAACAAAAAACAATGGTTGAGACGAATTACAGGCCTGTATTTTATTCGGCTCGTTCTGTTCAATTCCTAGCACTGATTACACAATGCTGGCCAAGGAAAATTGAAATGCATTTTTGAATCTTTTTTATCATAAAAAGATTAACTATCGTAACTTTGTCATCAGTTGTTTCCATTTTTAAGGAAAAAAAAAAGTTGTCTGCAAATAAAAAAACAAAAACAAAGCATAAGATTGCATGCTTGCTTGGGTGATTTCATTAATATTCACAGGAACCCAAGGAGTTGCTTTTCTGAAAGAAGACAGACATTTGAACAATAAGAAAGAAGATAGACAAATTTGCAGTACTCACATCAAGGATTCTCTGGTAGTAATCAGCTTGCTCAGTTTTTAAAACAAAACTATACGTAAAAGCAAAAGATACCTTACAAAAAGAAGGAAATTTAAAACAACTAAAGGCGGTTAGGCCTTAACCCTCCCATTAATTATGATGAAAGGCCCCATCTTTAATCGCGTGATTATAAAACAAAAGGCACACAACATATTACAAATGTTTAACCACGTGATTAGAAGGTCCACATTGTAAAAGTCAAATATATTTTGAGTTATACAAGCGGTTGAGTGAGAACAATGTTGATTTGATTAATATTATTATTAATATTGTAGGAGCTAATTCTATGAGCATAATTGAACTCAAATTCAAACCATGAATTGAAAATCCTAAATTTCGAAGTTGAAAGAATATGTTAGGACACGATTCCAATATCTTGTAAGCCAAGTATGCACCTGACCTTCCTAGTGCACATCCGTAGTATTTGATTGCCCTTAATTCCCATCATAAAAATATAATAAACACGAGAACATTTGTTTTAGTAGTAGTGTTAATTTTTTTTGTTTCCCTTCGACTGTACGAACAAAAACAAAACAATAGCATCAAGAAGTAGGATGATTCAAATGTTTGATTGTCGTGTATCTCCAACAGTACTAGCTAATTTTTGTTATTGTAACTAGCCAAATGACTCATATGTTAATTTGGCTAGCCACAACTTTCAACAATATTAGCTATTTTAGCTTACGTTTTTTTTTGCATGTGGTTTAATATTATAATAAATACAGTTCTGGGATTTCCATGCATACATCCCAGATTCGAAACTCTTCCTCTTCTATGTTGACAAAATCAAGACAGCTCGTCATTTGGCTAGCCTGACGAAGCCTTCTTTTCCTGTAAGCTTTCCATGGAAACTAATTAGAAGGAAATTCATCTTTGCAATTCCCAGCTAATCAGAATTTACAACTTTTGCATCTCCATCTACACAAAGATGTCGCCAGAGGATTGGGGGTGCAGAATGCACTGTTTTATGGAACACAAGCCAGCCATTTAGCCCATTTTCCATGCGTAATCATTGCAAAGTGCCTCACAATTAAATAACAAATAGTACCAGCTAAATTGAATTAGGATCAAACATTCTATGTGATCAGCAAGCACTTATAAGCAATGCTGTATGGTAAACTGCAGCAAAATTGAATTTATATTTGAGGAACGCTAACAACATACCTTTTTATTTGAATCTTTTCATTTTACTTTTTTGGTTTTATTTTATTTTTTTATTTTACAATGTTAGAAGATGGTTTGTTTGGACTGTCTAATTTCTTGTTCATGTTTTAAGATTAATTCTATTAAAAATTAATCATATTTCTAGGAGTTATCTAATACATAGAAACAAACTATGTTATTTAGTTAAACACTAAAAAAATTTACAACGTTAATCGATCTATTAAACATTTTTTATTAGGATGATTTCTTGAAGAGTTGATTGGCCAATCCTTCGAGCACTTCCATCGGTGTGGACGTGCCACCAGGCACTTTTTGGTAAAGTCCACCTCAACTGAAAGATATTGTTTATTGTAACAGGAGTACAGGTGCTACATTATATATTTTTATGTTCGCGGTGAAAAATTTTATTTTTGAAGTTATTAGTTTTTTAACATATAATGATGTACCATCTCGTGTGCTGATTACATTAAAAATTCTCTCCTCAACTGATGCTCAGGCGAGTGGTGGAGCCCACGGAGCCCAAACAGCTTCCTAGGCCATTCTGGGACAGGCAGCCAGCTACCCAGGGAGGTGATGGGGCCGGCTGACGTCAGTGAAAGTGGCCCAGACAACGACTGTTTAATCTCTAGCAGTTTGGCAAACGGTCCAAAATTTTCTAACTTCTAAAATTAAAATAAAATACAAATATGTTTTAAAAATATTTAAAAATAAGGAAAATTAAATAAAATTAAATTAAATTTAAAGACTCAAACAAATTGTAAATATATTTTTGCCAACCATCGTCTTCACTCTGTCACAAAAAAAAATACAAACTTCTTTTTTTGTATACAGTTTAATTAATTAATTATGTCTCTTAGTATTACGGTTCAGTAGTATTCCTCTTCATTTGTAAGTGAGTTGCTTTAGGTTCGATTCTCGTCAAAGGCGAATTTGAACCACATTATTGCTAGCTCATTGTGAGGTTAAGTCCATCCCTTCCTCATTAATGTAGATAATATTGTTTGTTAGAAAAAAATCTAATTATACATTACATAACAATAATTACCTCGACAACGTTTGAACGGGTAAAGTTGCACAAAAACGATTACTTTCATGCAATGAATACTAACTGCCTAGGCCTCCTATCTCTTGCATAGGGGTAACGGGTGAAGTTGCTGTTATAGATTGAGCTATGGTGAATATAAACCAACAAATAAAAGGATGTTATAGAAAGATTCTTTTGAAATAATAAGAAAGATTCTTTTGAGCTGAGGATCACATGCAGGTAGATCCAATGTTGATGATTTAATATGCAAGATTAAAAGTGTTTTAAGCCTAAGTTGTTAGATTATCATTCTTTAACCCACTGCCACCTTCTTCCAGTTACACGAATTTGGCATCATTAATTCAACCATTATTGACCATTGCCTTGTCGCTTGTTCCGGAATTAGGGTAACATTTTAAACTCCAAAGAATATAATTATTTTGAAGTTCCCGATTGTAAGAAGTGGACATAAGTTTACAGCCTTTCAATCTTGTTTTTTTGTTTCAATGTCTAGTTATATCAAGGTTTTAAACACAAAATAAAAAAGATGCATAAAAATTTAGAGATCTAGTCCAATGATGCTTAAGGCTACTAATGCTTGATTAGCATAACACCTACCTTGGAAAAGAAGTGTCGAGTAATTTTCTTTTAAAAAAAATTAATTTATAAGATTCGAACTCGAAACTTTCTTCAACAACGTAGAACAAATGTTTAGAGTACAAACATAAAGCTTCACAATCACATTACTTGGTTACATTACATATCCGTTACACCATTTTTTTAACACAACTTTGAACACATGCTTTTGTGAAGCCTACTAATGTATTTTAATGATTTAAACCACTTATCTTTTAAAACATCATTCATAGATCATCATTCCAAAAGACTAAATAAATCCAAAATAATTAAGACATACATTTGTAATGAAGAAAATGGACAAATACAGTTCAACAAAGAAACTCTAAACCCTAAATTTAACTATCATATAGTTTCAGATTTAGGTGATTTTTGGTGATCATAATCTTTGAGAGTAGACCTAAAAGATAAACGATTTTGATAATTAAAATACATTACAACCTGTGTTAAAAATATTATAAAAAGTATACGTCTCATCATATCATATCATACACACACACACATATATGAGAAAACCAAATGTGATTCGCACCCAACTAGCGCCAACCATAGGCATATTCATGCTATATAGCAAGAGTCAAATGTAAAACAATTGTTCTTAAAAAATGAATGATGGAAAACATAAAAGTAAATAAAAGAAACAATGATGTACCAATAATAGAACTAGCCGCATGCTACCTTTAGAGAAATAGCTGAGCTAGCTTATGGTACGAGTAGTAGTTGTAATCATACCACATAAAGATGAACGCAACTTTAATCAAATTACACCTTTCAATTAAAACGGAAAATAATATTTCCAATAAAAAATTTCACAACTTTAAACTTTGAAGACTATATTAATTACATATCTTCTCATTTTCTTAAGTACCATCATCTTCTCTAGCATTTCCGAGTGATTTTCTTTTGTCACCCATTGATAATGTATCAAACGTCTATTAGACGGATGATTCACTTTTAAACATGGGATAAAAGTTTATTAGACGGATGATCTCTAAAATCGTGCACCGATTGCAAAAGAACAAATTTTCCTTCTATTTAATGATGTGGAGAGATTTTTCAGTATATCCGGAATACGGGATGGTACAATATGCTCGAAATATAGGATGGTACAACATATAGAATTATACAATTAGATAGACACTTGAGAAAAAAAAATTTCACCAATTATATGATAACATGTGACGTAATGCGTACCTAACACAACGAAAAATCTCTCCATGATGTGGGGAATGATTAGTACATCTTTTTTTTTTCTCTCTCTATTCTCATCCACCAACTTACTTTAAAAGCAGACTAGTTGGCCTCTTTTTGAAGAAAATCGATCCTTGTATCACTCTTCTACTTCTCTTCAGTCTTCATCAAACAAAAGCTACCACATTTTATTCAAATTATTCTCCAATTAGCCATGAAAGGAATGGATATTTTCTGCGCATCTCCAGCTTCCACAGCCATTTGCTCTAGCCTGGATGCCGTGGTCCGCCGAGGCCCCAGACCCCTTGATCATGGTCATTATCATCGTCTTCATGATCACGATCAACGGAAAAACCAACCTCATCATCAAACTCACCATGCCCCTTGCTCATCTCAGTTACCTATTGATCCCAAACCATTTTACGAAATATGTAGAAAGAGTTTTTCTAGTCCACAAAGGCAGCTACGTACAAAAAGCTCTGCTGAGATACATGACTTAACAAGGACTAAGAGTGCCAATGGCTCTTCTTCTTCTCCTTCTCGGTTCCTCTTAAGTGACTCGCCCTTCATTGACAGGATATCGGAGCCCGATTGTAAGAATGTCTCTGCAGCTGCATTTGTTCCTCCTCAAGTACCCTCTAAGCCTAGAGACTCGATGAGCTCAAATGTTCCTCCTCAAGTACCCTCTAAAGTACCCTCTAAGCCTAGAGACTCGATGAGCTCAAATGTTCCTCCTCAAGTACATTCTAAGCCTAGAGTCTCGACAAGCTCAAATGTTCCTCCTCAAGTACCCTCTAAGCCTAGAGGCTCGATGAGCTCAAATGGTCATTGTAGTACTGTTTTGAAGTCTTCTTCTACTAGTTCTCGTCACCAGGTAACCTAATTTTCAGTTTTAATTCTTTTATTTCTTTTAGTTTTTGCTATTGGACAATTGAAGGCATGCATCTGAAGTTGTTCAACTATTGTAGGTTGTTGTTTTGAGGGTGTCACTGCATTGCAAGGGTTGTGAAGGAAAAGTGAGAAAACACCTCTCTAAAATGGAAGGTATAGTTAATTAGTAGATGGAGAAAGAAAAACTACTTAAAATTTCGTACAAATTTGTATTATTTAAATAATTACATTTGTATATATTTCTTTGTACTTCAAACCAAATTGGATTAAAAATAAAAACTTTATCTTTTTGTATTATGAGTTGTTTGTAGCGAGATGCGAGAGAATATTCTCTTGTTAGAAATATTATTATGTTATGATTTGTATAGTTTATTTTTATTTATTGACAATTCAAATCTTTCTTATTTATGCGTGTAAATGCTATATGCAACGTCAATTGGGATGAAAATTGAAATAATATATGATATTTATGTAATACTATGTTATATTTAAAAGCTATAATTTTTTATGGACTTGAAGATTAAAAATAAAAATAAATTATAGTGGTTAATGGCTGAATTTCTGCAGGAGTGACTTCATTTAGCATAGATTTCCAAACAAAGAGAGTCACTGTGGTGGGGGATGTCACCCCATTAGGTGTGCTCTCAAGTGTATCAAAGGTGAGGAAATCCCAGCTCTGGCCTTCTCCAACATCATCATCACCATCACCATCCTCTCGGTTGCCAGCGTCAACTACTCCTAAACCCTAAATTAATTAAATCAGTTCTCTTTTTATGTTATATATTCTCTGCCAAATTTCAAGTTTCCAGGCTTGCGTGTGTGTGTAATTTGCATGATTATTATTTTTAACTAAATAATCGATTGTTAATCAATAATCAAGTTTAATATCTCATATGTAAATGCAAAACCCTAGTATATTTTTAAGGGATCTGAATCAAAGTCTCTTTCTTACGTCCTTCTAAATTAATTATCAAGTTTGAAACCCTGCAACTTCTGTCAACTTTGAGTAAGGTATCTTATTGTTTACACTTTCGATGTCAATAACAAATGCGACACAACATAGTTGTGCACTGCCAACATTCTATTGCTAATGTAACCTCTCGATCATGTGAAGCAAACTGACCATTTCGCAGCCCCACATATCCACCACTTTACTTCTTCTGACTTTCAGTTTTGAGCACTATGATACACACACACACACACACACACACACTTATATCAACCACCGTATTTCAAATATTGTTTTGACTCTTTCCAAAAGAATTATGTGACATGACCATGTATGACATACAAACACTTTCTAAGCTTTTTAATCGACATAATTTTATATTAATCTGAATTTGATAGTTCGTATATTGTTTATATGTCATACACACTTTATATTGATCTAACGGTTAAAGATTGTGTGTTATATATGTTTGTAGGCAATTTTTTTTTTAACACAAACAGTTTCTAGCGATCACCATGCAAAGCATGCATTGAACATATTGTTGGAGAATCAAAGTTACTAGATTAAACCTACACGCGTCAAACTTTTATATTAGATCTTTCGGAACAAATTAGTTATACCACGCTATCATATTTCAAGCAACATATATTTGAGCAATCACACAAGTACCTTATCTGACTCATCTGAAAGGATTACTGCGTGATACTAGTTATACACCGCCACAGTATATTCACAGCGTCACACTGTCACGTAGTAATTTTCCCCATCAACCACTTCCCCGCAACATATATTTGACGTTTGAGCATCTTCTGGCAAAATAGCAACAATGTGAAACATACAAACAAAAGTGCGTCATGATAATGTTCAGAAACAGAGAAATGCATGCGGTGTCCATATGGTCGGCACTCAAGAACAACATATTGTTTGGGACAAGAAGCACTTATTCTTGTTTTTTTTCTTTCTCAATTCTTTTTCTATCCTATGGATTGTACCATCACATAAGGAATGGTAAAGTGGTCACATATGTATTTAAACAAGGGTGACTCAGCTGATTTAGTCATTGAATTATCACTTCAGAGAAAATCAGGTCTCTAAATTATTTTTTCAGAACAATCAGTTTTGAATATAAAAATCAGCCAATTACATTCCTACTTTTATATTCGAAGCTACTATATTCAAATTTTCATCAATTTAAGTCACTTAACTTGCATATGATACACTGTAGAGGTTAGACTGGTAGTTTTTCTTAAAGAAATAGTGTATGGAGTAAACTTTAGAGAATAAATTGGTAGTTTTTCATAAAGAAATAGTGTAAGAGGTTGGAAATTAATCTTCTTCAATTTTTTTGATCCGACGATTGGAAATTAAGAGAGGAGTGTGAGAGGTAAAAATTGGTGTGTGGAGAGCTCTACCCTTAAACAAAATAGATCAAAATTTGGATGCAAGTAATGAATGCTATCTCTAACAGGATTATCATAAATTAAAACGATCATTTAATCTAGTAGCACTCGATTTTCATGAATTCAAATCTCGCATACAATAATTACAAATCTAAGTTTAGTAACATTCGATTTTTCATTAGTTCAAATCTCGCAAACAACAACTACAGATCTAAGTATTATAATCTCTCTTGTACTTACCCCAATATGTCTTTCCTACAATGAACCAAATGAAGACTAGAAGTTATACTAACATTTTTTTTTTTTTGCAAGTCTATTAATTCAAAAGCATTATTTCATGCCTTTGTTCTTGGTCGGGTTTGTTCCTTTTCTTTTTTGCTTTTTGAAACTATATTATCCATCTTTTCTTTGACCAACTATAATCAGCAGGGAAAAGAGTTTTGTAATGTCCATAGGTTGGAAGCAAGCAAACTTCCAATTCTATGTCAACAACCATAACTTGAATACTTGTTATATCTTCCTTTTCCGGATGTTTCGTGACTTTAATTTATTTGATTATGACATATGTATTATCCACCTATCAAGCGATCATATTATAGAATATGTCTCTTGTATAGAAATTTGGTATACGGGTTGGTGCAACCTTTTCTCGTCATCAGCATGAAATCTTTTCTTTTTCGTATGTAAGGAAGTGTTTGGACATTGGATTATCTTTGACCTAACAAAGGGTTCCGAATCCTCTCCTCTCTCATTTTCTTTTTCTTCCAATCCTCTTTTATTTGAACACTCACGAGTAAACTACGTCAACATCTTATGTTGACTTCTTTATAAAAAGACAAAGACAAAAAAAAAAAAGTGAAAAAGGAAGAGAGAAGATCTGAAGGGAGAGAATCCTACTTATCCCTTCACTAGCCATCTAGTTTGAGGGATGGAGCAAATAACATTATTTGAGAGGTACCCTCAAACAGTTTAAGTTAGTTTGAGAAATGATACAAATAACCTTATTTCGTTTCAACTAAGTGACACTATTGTAGGACCTACTTTGCATTGTATTTCAAATCTAAAATCACACTTTCATTTTAGCATTTTCTTAAAATATCACATTAATCTATTATTCTGGATACGACTACATGTCTTTTTGTAATTTTTTTTTTAAAGTCTCAAATTTGTTTTCAAAATGATCCTTGTATAAATAATTAAAGAAATACATGGTTTGAATAATTAAAATAACATCCGAAACAGGATCCATAAAATATCCTTATTTGAAAGACTCCTTAGTAAAATGAGACTTTGTATATAACTATATATATAGAAGGCTTATTTTTAGCTATACCCCTTGAAACTTGATTTTAAGGGTGAAGTGTCAATTTAGTCTCTGAATTATCACTTCAGTGCAAATTAGGTCCTTGAATTTATTTTTCTAAAATCCCTAAATTCATTAAAAATTGCTAATTTCAGCCATATTATTATATTAAAAGCTATTTTATTCAATTTTTTTGTCAACTTAAGTCCCTTGACACACTTTCAAGTGTAATACCGTCATTTTCTCGCCAATAAGCCCTTAACATTTCATATAGGTTGTGAATCTAACGTCTAATTTAGCCTCCAAAGTTAACTCTATACAATATAGGGGTAGACAAAAGGGTCTTGGACTTGCGGATAGGGGTGGGTACAAGCAGGTCGATGCGGGTACGGAGCGGGGCGGTGCAGTTCTATGTTACTTGCAGGGCGGGTCCAAATTGCTAAGAAAACAGGCCCCCCGCCCGGACCGTATCTACTGTCCAATATGTGGAGATTTAATCTCCACCTTTGATTAAATCCCACAATCCACTTGGTGCGGTGTTCGTCGATGCAGGTTCTGGGCTGAACGGAAAAGATGCGGCGGAAGGGAGTAATGAGTGTGGAATACAGGCTTCAAATAGGCATTATGCGATGTCGATCTGGGTAGGAGGTTCATCAGGACCCTGCAGCAAGCAGCAGCAGAGGTTCAAGACAGGCGTGAAATGGTGGCTGGTTAAGGTCTTAGTCGAATCTAGACACACACAGGTCAGGCAGCGGCAGTCTTGAGGTGCAAAGGTGTAGTGGAGTAACGGCAACGGTCCAGTTTGGGAAATCGTGCTCAAGTTGACCTTGACAGTGATGGGGATTCGCTGGCGGGTCTCCCGCGAGCATAGGAAAACAGTGAACTGTCTTGACAAGATTCCGATCTTGTGGCTCAGAAACGACAGGAACCGCAGGAAATCAAGCTTTGGGTAAACGACGAGGTCGCCAATATCGATCTCGGCCTTACTATAAGAGAACGTGGTGGTTCGACATCTCTTGGAACAATCAGAATTCGAGAGAGCTAAAGAAGAAGAGGGAAAAAAAAAGGGGGGACCCGTGAACCCGCCCCGAAATGGGCCGAGTTAGGTCCGATTCTTGTATTAGAATTTCTTATACCAAGCCCGGCCCGTCCCATTTCTTTTAAGCCCAGGTCTGGTCTGATCCTTTCAAAATTAGGCCTAGCCCCGCCCATACCCAGCCCTAATACATTATTTCTTTATGAAAAATTATCAATCTACCATCCAATGTGTATCACATGCAAGTAACATGACTTAAATTGATGGAAAATTGAATATAGTAGTTTCAAATATAATATTATGGTTGTAATTGGCAGATTTTTATAATTGAAGGATTGATTTTTCTGAAAAATAGTTTAGGGACCTAATTTTCACTCCGGTGATAATTTAGGGACTAAATTGGTAGTTCACCTTGATTTTGATATCACTTTGATATTTGTAACTCAAATGTCACATCCCGCCCCGGGACGGATTATTTCCCGGACTCGCTCCACCACCGTAGCACGATATTGCCCTATTTGGGCTTACCATTCCCTCATGGTTTTGTTATTGTGACATCCCACATTGCCCAAGGGAGTGATCCTTATATGTATATTCCCATTCCTACCTAGCACGAGGCCTTTTGGGAGCTCACTGGCTTCGGGTTCCATGGGAACTCCGAAGTTAAGCGAGTAGCGCACGAGAGCACTCCCAGGATGGGTGACCCATCGGGAAGTTCTCGTGTGAGTTCCCAGAAACAAAACCGTAAGGGCGTGGTCGGGGCCCAAAGCAGACAATATTGTGCTACGGTGGTGGAGCGGGCCTGGGAAGTGATCCGCCCCGGGTTGGGATGTGACACAAAAGTCGTTACTTTACTTCTTGAAACTCAAGGTTTCTCCACTTTACCCCCTGAAACTCGATTTTCATTTTGTGTGTCTTTCCTTATTCACATTTTTTACATCTCTCCTGCCATTCTGTTTCCTCTGTTTTATTTCTCTCTTGTATCTTAACAGATAAATGAAATGATTAATATCAAATGGGTTTGTAGGTTTGTTTTCTTTCACCATTTTGTATGTATTTCATGTGCTTTCCTCCCTCCCCCTCTTATCACACTCCCTCCACATCAATGATTTATGCATCATTCCATCTGTCTTTTCTCCATCTCTAATATAAAAGAAAAATCTAAAAACAAAAAATACAATTATTACCAAACTCCTGTAAGTTCAAAGAAAAGTGAAGAACATATCTGATTACGTTAGGGATTTTTATGACTTTAGAGATTTTTATGATATCCAAGCAAATTAAAATTTGTTAGGTTCCCCTCTTTTTGAGACATGAAGCTATACTTTTGACTTGAAACTTTTACAAGGGTCTAGTGTTTAAGTGGGTACTTCACGTGTCATAAAATAAGTGGAGAGATACAAAAAAATATAGGCCTTAATTGGATTAATAATCCATGTGGTAATACGGTAATCTGAAAATAACCCACGTGGTAAAAGAATCAGGATCTAAACTTTTGTGGTAAAGTCTATTAGGGTTCAGGTCCAAAATTAAAAGTTTCGTCAACTCTATCAATTGTTTGGACGTAAGCCTCACATGTGAGGCTAAAAACATAAAGTTAGCCTCATATGTGAGCCTCACGTGCTAACAATTAACGGAGAGTTCCATTTTGGAATCATAAGTGCGACTCACATGTTATTAATTAATAGAGAGTTGATAGAATTTTTAATTTTGAATCGAAATCCTAAAGGACTTTACCACAGGGGTTTAATCCTTATTTTTTTACCACATGGCTTATCTTCCGACTTCCATATCATCATAAGAACTAATAATACAATTGGGCCAAAAATATATCATTTCCTTTACTTGATTATGACATGTGGAACTAGCTAGTTTTGACATATAAAAGCTTAAACCTGGAAAAATCTCTCAATTTTGACGTTTAAAAAGCTTAAAACTTGGAGCTAATTGCAACTCCATTCAACATCTTTAAACTTTACAATCTCATATAAAAACTTACGATTGCATTGCAATTTCATACATTCGTCAATTTTCTCGTCAGTATCTCTATTATTTTGCCTACTTGGCATCGCAAGACTCACTCTATCACCTATCTGGACCACCCTATTGCAATGAAATTGAAAGTTTTTATTGACATTGTAATGAAATCGAAAGTGTTTTTTTATGAAATTGTGAAGTTTTAAAGATGTCATACAGAGTTGCAATTGAACACAATTTGAAGAGGATAAACTGTCATTTACCCTTAATTGAGTAATATGTCAAATAATTTAGGAAGTGGCTATAGTGCGGCGGATTATTAGTCCTATAATATATCTTTTTATAGCTATTACATCTTAATATTCAAATCTAGCCGTCCATTTTTTGGGATATTCGATGTCCGTTGCATTGTAGGAAAATTGAAGAATTTGATCTCAAATTTTTTTTTCTTCCTTAGTATCAAATTTAAATGAACTCATTTATTTGAGAGGAAATTAGTTTCATTTCATTTCTAAGGATGAATTGAGCGAGGCTAAAGAGGGTCAATTCGAGTATGACGGGGCCAAATTTCGGCTCAGCCCGACATGTAGCATTGGGTTGGCCGAACCAACCCAATCTTTTGTTGACGAAGGGTAAGACGAAGAGTTTACAATCCAAGCCCGGCTCACGACCTTGCCCGTTTGCGCCCAATATGACCCAACCCCTTTAGCAAGCCCATGTTATATTTAATACAGTCTGCACTTGCATCTGCTTCGCTATTTTTGGTCAACCTTTTGACTAAATCAACTATTCACTATCATAAACACAAAAATGCCTTAAAACCTCCCACTTAATCCTCAACCACGCAGGACAAGTTTCACTTCTTTGCTTTTACTTGTTGACTGCCAACATCTTTCGGCCCCTTTTATACCGACATGGTCCCCAACGTAATCGGTATATACAAGTTTTATCTTAAAAAACTTTGAATAACTTGACTAAAATTTCAGCCAAGGTAGTATGCTAATCAGCCTAACCTTGAAGTGGACAAAAACCTTTGTAGGATACCATTTTATTCGTAGGACACTTCTCATAAAAATGTAAGACTTTTGTACTTTAGTCTCATGTAACCAACGTTAGTTCCATCCGATATAAGAGATATTTCAAGAGAAAAAAAAAACATCATTTTCATGTAAATAACCATCATTTTTGTAATTCAAATCACAATCGTTTTTGAACATGTATCTCTAGTGCAGAGATTTTAGCAAAACACATAATTAACAACATTTTAAATTAAAACCTTAATTAGCACACTAGTAAGTGAGATACGTAGTAAACTCCAGTACGGTGTCAACTCCATCAGTGTTGTGCTGATTTGTTGCAGGAATAGTCTTAACAAGAGCATAACCCTTTGCATTGAGATACTTCCCAGTTCCTCCCATGATTGCAAGATGAGACTCCGACACCGCCACCTGATGCACACCGAAGAAGGTGAGGCTATCAGCGTAACCACCACTCTGAAACATGGCTGTGAATGCAATGGTCTGGCTGCTCCCATCTTCAGAACTCGCCACGTAAAACCCTTGTGCCTTGCCGAGCAAGCCAGAACCAAGTTCATGCCCTTCAGTCAGCTCATCATCGAAAACTGTTAGTGTCCCAAACATAAGCTTTTGAAGGGTGATTCCAGGAGGGAGCTGAGCCCCGTTAATGTACGGAAACCCATTCCCACCAATGATGTTGTTGTTGTTACCATTGTTTTGGACCAAGTTGTTGCCAGTGTTTCCACCAAGGCCGGTGAAGAAGGGGACGTTGTTGTTGTCGATGATTCCATTGTTGTTGCTGTTTTGAGGAATGCCATTTCCAATTGGGATGTTTGCTCCATTGGGTTTGGCAAAAGGGATTTGACCGCTGACTGCCGGGTTGGCCACAATTCCAGTGACAGCTCTCGCTGAGGGGTTTGATCCTCCGATAATGTCATGCAAGAAGAAGGTTAGCGGATGGTAGGATGCTGTGTTGCCAACTGTGGCACTTGTAGCTGCAGCAGGGCCTGCTGGATTTGTAGCCACCAGAGGAGGTGGCACATTGGAAACAGGTATTTGTGTTTGAGTTGTATGAGGCTCTTCAGGGGATGCAGGGCTTTCCTCATCGAGGATTCGGGCGCAAGTGGCGCAAGGAATGGCAAGGGCTAGAAGAAGTAGCCAGATTGTGAACTTGAGGGGCAAGGGAACTGATTTCCGGGTTGCCATGAGATTGGAAGGACAGGGAGAAAATCGAAGAACAGCTTATGATCTGGAGAGAAGGTTTTGTTTGACGGGTTGATGATGAATTAAGACAGAATTATTGGGAATATATACTATGTTAGTTTAAGAAGATTAAGTTTAAATCATAAGATGGAGTAGATAACATGGAGTAGGTAGACTTTGCATTTCTGGTACTGGTGTGTTGGTTAGAGCTTTAAAACACCTGAGCCTTGTGTTTTAGATGTGAATTTAATTAAAAACTTTGGATTTGTTTAGGAGTTAAGATGAACAACTCCTCTCTTTTTCAATTTAATTCTAATTAAAATTATATTATTATTATCTTTGGATCAATAATTACTTCTGAACACGAATTAGATAGGCCATTACAGTTTTGATCCATTAACAGAATAAAAAGTAAAACCCTGGGGGTTAATATTATTCTCGTATTGATCTTCATTTTATCTGGTAATTTCATACAAGTACTGGTAACCTTTTATTGTATATAAACCCGAGTTTTTGAAAAACAAGACTTGAGACGCGCCTAGGCGATCTTCGAGGTGGGACGGTGAGGAAACACCTTTACCTAGCAAGAGTAGGCTTAAACTCGCTTAGGCGTGGTCGAGGCACGTTAGAGGCATCAATCGGGGCTTTTTATATTTTTTGATATATTTTTTTTAAGGTTAGGGTTTCTCACCTACAGTGAAGAAATTTTTTATTCGGAAGTTGATCATTCTTCTATAATGTTTGATTTTGACTCTAGCGTTGATTTTATATATAGGGATGTACTATCCACACACTCCAAATTGCTCCTCACACACCCCTTGTTAATTTATGTCCGTTGATCTTCTTCAATTCATCTGATCCGATGACTGAAAATTAGGAGGGTGCGTGAGAATTAAAATGGGGTGTGTGAATTATATATACAGGGAAGTGTTATTGGCACTTCAAAAATCTCATTCTACACTTCTCACAAGTGTATTTTTCTTTCCAAATATAAAAAGTTTGGAGTGTAGAATGAGATTTTTGAAGTGCCAATAATAATTCCCAAAATTATATACATAATATACATTTATAATTATAAGTTATGTGAGGCTTTGCTCACGCCTCAAGGCTTGCACCTAAGCAGGACTATCCATGAAACATCTTGGCTTCGTCGCTTTTTAAAACATTGATGTAAACTCAAAATATCAAAAGAGAAGTAAGATACATGGAAGCCATTATATTTTCCACTAAAAATTAAATAGAGTTGGTGTCAACAAAAAAAAAAAAAAAAAAAAAACCTAATGATGAAGACTTGAAAACTTTGAGTTTTAACAAAAATGATAAAATAAATAATAAAATAAATAATATCAAAATTAAATTTTTAATGTAAAAATATAATTTTTTTTATTAGAATAAATAGTACTAGGAACTTTTCGTTTTCTTTAGAGTTCTCTAAAAAAAAAAAAAAAGACAAAAACCTCTGTTTGCACCACAAGCATCATCAACTAGAGCATCCCCCAGAAACTTGACTTCCTATCGACAATTAAACTCTTGCGCAAAACTTCCGTCTCTTCCCTGAACCCTACAGTGGTCATAGATTAGCTCAGTTTACATGCCTACTTGACCTCGAACAAGCATAGTGAGCTTCCTGAAGGCACCTTTTAACTTTTGCATCAAATGCAACGGGAAAAAGAAGAAGCAGCCTTTGGATGTGGTCGAGAAGCATAGTTTTTGTCGGAATTGACATAACACCAACTCGAGCTTTCACTTGTCGGAACCCAGTTGAAGGTTGGCTGAAGACACTCATTCACTAACACAGACGCTGAAGTTGGTGCCCAAGATGATGCGGTTTACTGCTTCTTCTTGTTATGGAAGCAGACTCAGAGGTACGCCTTGTCCTCTTCAATCCTCTCTTGTTGCTGTCGCCAACGGTTACTTAGCTACCTTTTATTCTCAGTCTGCACAACCAGTCAAATCTACAAAAACCCAACAACTCCGGCTCCCCAAAGTCACTAATCTTGAAGATGCCTTCAATGTGTTCGACGAAATGCTTCAATGGCGTCCTCTGCCTTCCATTGTGCGTTTCACTCAAATATTGAGTCAAGTTGTGAAATTCAAACATTATTCGGCCGCGGTCTCGTTGAGTAACCAAATGGGTGCGTCCGGAATTGGTGCTGATGCTTTTACTCTAGCTATTGTCATTAATTGCTTTTGTCATCTAAACCAAATGGGGTTTGGTTTATCTGTCTTGGGAAAGTTCTTCAAGCTTGGTTTTGAACCAGATGCGGCCACCTTCAACACCCTAATCCACGGCTTTCTTCTTGAGGATAGAGTGGCTGACGCTGCAGGGCTTTTGGAGAAACTGATGGAGAGTGGTAACTGTAAGCCCAATGTGATTACTTTTGGCACGCTAGTAAAGGGCCTTTGCATGAAAGGTTACAACAATGCAGCTATTCAGTTGCTTAAGAAGATGGAAGAAGGAGGTTGTAGGCCTGATGTAGTTGTCTATAGCACAATCATCGATAGTCTTTGTAAGGATACACTACTTGTGGATGCATTGAACCTCTTCTCAGAAATGATAAGTAAGGGTATTGCCCCAAATGTTATTACCTATACCTCTTTGATTAATGGAGTTTGTAGATTAGGGGAGTGGAAAGAAGCTACGAGATTGTTGAAGGAAATGGTGAGCAAAAGTATCTTTCCAGATGCGCACACCTTCAGTGTATTCATTGATGCACTTTGTAAGGAGGGGATGATTGAGGAAGCAAACAGTGTTTTTGAAATGATGATTCAAGTAGATATTGAACCTAATACTATTACATACAATTCAATAATGGATGGTTACTGTTTGCGAGGAGAAATGGGCAAGGCGAAAAAGGTTTTTGAACTATTGCTCAACAAGGGGTTTGTGGCTGATGCTTATAGTTATAACATATTAATTAACGGATATTGTAAGCGTAAAAGGATAGATGAGGCTGTGGTGCTCTTTAAGGAAATGTCTTGTAAGGGACTCTCTCCAGATACCATTAGTTATAACACTCTTATTGATGGTTTTTGCAAAGTGGGGAGGATACCGGATGCGCAAAACTTGTTCTATCAGATGAAAGCTTGTGGAGATCTTCCAAACCTTTGGACTTATGCTATTTTACTGGATGGCCTATGTAAAAACCAAAAACTTTCATTGGCAATGGAATATTTGAGAGAGCTGGAAGGCAAGAAGTTGGGTCTGGATATTGTCATTTACAATATTCTTATTGAAGGTTTAAGCATAGCTGGAAAAATTGATTGTGCAAGGAATCTCTTTTGCAGTTTATCATCAAAAGGACTCCAACCGATTGTCTGGACATATAATATAATGATCAGTGGGCTTTGTAATGAGGGGCTGATAAATGAAGCAGAAAAGTTGTTTAAAGAAATGGAAGAGAAAGGCTGTTCTCCAGATAACTGCACCTATAACACAATTATCCGGGGATTTATCAATAACAATGAGACATTTCGAGCGATGGGACTTATTCAACAAATGGTGGAGATGGGTTTTTCTGCAGATGCATCAACGGTGGAATTGATAGTTGATTTACTGTCTAAAGATGATGTACATCCTGCTTTGTTGACATTGATTGAATGATCGTAATGAAGTTGATTTGCATCTTTGAAATTTGAAAGTGAGCCTTCTTACTAACACAATGAACTTAGAACCTGTTGCACCTTTGATAACTGTGGCTGTATTATTATATATGATCTTGATTGTTCATGTGGAAACATAATGTCTGTTTTATTGCGCCGCAAAGTTTAGCATTTTAGTATTTTCATATGCTTAGCTGTAGTGCTTGGTAGAAACATTCTTATACATCGTATTACGTGGAAACAATTGCATATGTTAGTAAGACTCTGGCATGTTTTTGCATCTGGGGAAGTTGAGGGCTGATTGGTTTGCAATTTTGGATGGAAACTGTTTTGGGACTTAGAATGTTGGTTGTCTACAGTAGCTATGTAAATTTATTTTGGTTGCTGAAGCAATTAATTGATTTATTTTAGGAGTACAGCAATGTGAAATTACTTGGCAGAAAAAAAGAAAGCCAAGCATGTCAACAACAGGGGAAAGTTTGTAGCAAATTCCTATGAGTTTGTGGAGAGATTCAACAGCAAAACTCCCCTTTGTCGACCATGGATGTATTCTATAGGTTATTTATTAGTTTGTTTGTACGTGATCATGTTATGCCTGAAAGCCGACTTTCGAAGACAAATCAATCCCTTCAATGTTTTAAGTATAATGGTTTGTGAGTCTCTCTCTCTCTCTCTCTCCTCTGATATATATGTCTGTATATATATATATATATATATATATATATATATTTATTATTAAATGCTCTTCCAATTGTAAAATTATGCAGACATATATATATATGTAATCTCTCTTCCGATTGTAAAATTATGCAGACATTGCAGCTGAAGAAATAACCAATCCCCTGCTTATTTTATTAAGCTCAGGTTAGTGTAGGTGCATGGAGGGAATAAGGCTGGTTTTACATTCAAACGTGTTTTGAACAATTAAAATCTGATCTTGATGGAACAATATACGGATGTCACTGATTTTCTCGGTTGCTACTGTTTTGCAGGGTTTCAAATTCGGTAAACAATGTCAGAAACTGATGATGATGTCTGGTCTGGGAAGCTTATATGAAGGGGAATATTTCTCTCATTAATTGCTTCCCAGGACAAAAGGAATTTCCCTATTAGTACAAAATCAACACTTCATGGGTGCTGCAATATGACGTGTGTACATGTTTTTGTGCGTTTGTCGAATGATCTTGTTGATAAAGTATGCTATCCCTTTGCACTGAGTGAACCGTGAGTAGCTTTGGGCGCCCCAATTTGGTGATATGTGTATCGTTCATATCAATATGCAAATGCAAACTCAGCTTGTCTTGTTACTTTTCAAACTTGAGGATCCTCTAATTTGGTTTGAATTGGGGTCAGGAACTTTTGGATTAAGCTTCTGGTTCTTGTGGAGATGTAGGAATCTG